GGCTTGTTGCATGTGCCTGCCCCCTGGGCTCTTTACTGCCGGAGCTCCGGTCCTGCAGGAAATGACCCCTGGTAAGCAGTATAAATATAATTCTGCTTTACTCACTATCAGAAGGCACTGCGGGGTAGAGCTGCTTAAAATCCCAAATGCTCTACATTTGTCCCATGAAGTTTTGAATATCCCCCCTCCCACGCATATGTAGATTGCTCCCTGGAGGGAATGCATACCCCATAAGAGTCCATGATCTAGAAGAGAATGAGTTGGTTCTAAACTAAACTGGCAATCTCACCCATTTCCCCTTCCTGCGGCAGACTCCTCCCCTCCCCGGCTACTCCTCAAAGCCCTCTATGAGCAGCATTTTGGGGAGATTTATGGGGGGGGGGAGCAGGAAGGTTCCATTTAGAATTTCCATGTTCCATGTAGAATTTAGACTAGCTCCAGATCTGTTCCAGTTGTCTGCAGAACTTAAAAGCGGTTCTCATCTGAACGATCCTAAGGTATATGAATGCAATCATGACTGATACTTTAGAAGCAGGGCTTTTATTAGATACAGCTGTGCCATGTAATCATATTGTATAGTTAGTGCCACATCTTTTCCCCATTGACATGTTTTTTCTTGTGGTTTCTAGTCTGCATTGCTGCATTCGCTGGCTTGGTCCCATATATCCGTTCTTTTGTAAGCGGCTGAAAGCTGTTCGGGTGACTGAGTTGTATCAGGAATCACAAGTATTTGTATTTGCTGGTTCCACACATCAATTAAACCATTCCCCGTAACAGTCAGTATTGTTTACTCAGACTGGTAGCAATTCTCCAGGGTCTCAGGCCGAGAGATCTTTAACATCGCCTAGTAACTGATCCTTTTAAGTGGAGATGCCAGGGACTGAACCTGGTAACTTCTGCCAGACAGATGCTCTACCACTGAGCCACAACACCAGACATCTCTGTACACTCCTTTGTGTAGTTCAAATTCCATGTGTTGCATTACTAATACATTTACTTGTGAACCATTTTGCTTCAATAATTTTTTTTTAACTTTTTGAAAAAGTTAAAGGAGTTTTTTTCCTGTGGGACCTGCACAGCTGACCATTTAGCAACCCAACTTTTTCTGGGTGGCTCTTGAATTTGGCCCTGTTACAGCATATCACTGCTTCTTTGTTGAAATATCTAGAAGTACTGAAAACATGTCAGCTTTTAGTATTTTATCTGCCACAGCCTTCTTTATTAATACAATCACTACAGTAACATGACTCTCTGTTTTTGATAATGTCACGCCTCTATTCCTATCGCTCCCTAACAGGTATACTTACTTTTCTTCACTTTTTCTGAATGTCTCTTACAATGAGCCATTTGCTAAAAAGTATGCATTCTCCTACACTTTAATTCTGGTTTTGGACATCTGATTATTTTCTGGTTTTTTTCTAATCCAGGTGTGGTAGACTGTATTTCCACAACTGGCCTCAAAGTTGCCTCGTGCTGCTATTTATCATGCAGAAATACTTGAAAAGCCATTAGTATAGATTTTAAATTAAGCAATAAACCTGGGAGGGGTTTTTTGCCTCAGAAATCGGGACATGCTTATGAAGAGACAGTGTGTTAAATTTACATTGTATAAAGTTTAGCAGATACTTGGAGAGTCTGTGACAAGCAATTATATCGAAATTTTCCACATTTGCTAAAAGCTTTACACAGAGACAGCAGTATATTGCCGCACGAACACCACATCCTGTAAGAAGGTCTGGCTCACAAAGCTAATTGGAATTTTCAAAGTCTAAAACGAGCCCAGCAGATCTAAAAGCATCCTGTCCCCTATTTTCCAAATCTAGCCACAAATCCACAGGTGGCCGTTTGTTGCAGGGATTTTATCCTCACCACGAAATAAAGTGAGAAGGAAAGAGTCTGTTGGTTTGGCAGGCTGTAGAAGCGGTGCCACTGTCTTCTCCGCTCTCTCTGTTGTCTGAAGTTCATTTTTTAAAAATGGTGTACAGTGGGGAATGAGAGGGTTTGTGTTTTTTCCCCCCTGCGTGTGCAAACATACCTGGTGCACTGATTTCCTAGCCTGTTCAATAATCCTTTTGGTAGGAATTTCAGAAAGTCCCTCATTGACAACGCTTAAAATGCGGATACAATACACTGATCCCTAAGGTATTAAAAGGAGCTGCGGTGGCTCAAGTGGTTAAGACGCTGAACTGCAGGCTGTGGAAGGTCGGTAGTTCAGCAGTTCGAGACCCAGGGTACCGCATGACGGAGTGAGCTCCCGTCTCTAGTTCCAGCTCCTGCCAACCTAGCCGTTTGAAAGCAAGAAATTGCAAGTCGATAAATAGGTACCGCTTCGGTGGGAAGGGAACAGCGTTCCGTGCGCCTTGGTGTTTAGTCATGCCGGCCACGTGACCACGGAAACGTCTTTGGACAGCGCTGGCTCTTCGGCTTGGAAACGGAGATGAGCACCGCAAGCCTAGAGTCGGACTCGACTGGCTTTCGGGCAAGGGAACCTTTACCTTAAGGTATTAAAATCATGTCACGTTGAGCCACCAGGACAGCCGGTAAGAAGAACAAAATCACAGCAATTGAAATGGGAAGATTTTGCACCACAGACATTAGAGAGAAAGAATGCAATAGCGGACAGTCCAAAGTTGCAACCAGTGACATTACTACCTGGCATTTCTAGAAGGCTCGGGCTCTAGCCACACATATACCCCCCATCTCCTCCACCGGTTGACCACAGAGACAAGCTGTCCCTGCCCAGCTGCAGTAGCCCACACGCTCAAGTCTAACCTCTTGGAAGACCAGGCTAACAATGCTATTCTAATAGCAGTGACCCTAGGTAAAGGTTTCCCGTGCTCGAAAGCCAGTCGAATCCGACTCTAGGGATGTGATGCTCATCTCCGTTTCCAGGCCGAAGAGCCAGCGCTGTCCAAAGACGTTTCCGTGGTCATGTGGCCGGCAGGACTAGACACAGAGGCGTTACCTTCCCACCGAAGCAGTACCTATTTATCTACTTGCAATTTCTTGCTTTCGAACTGCTAGGTTGGCAGGAGCTGGGACCAGAGATGGGAGCTCACTCCGTCATGCGGCACACTCAGGTCTCGAGCTGGTGAAGTACCGACCTTCCCGTCTGCAATTCAGCGTCTTAACCACTTGAGCCACCGCAGCCCTCTAGCAGTGACCCTACACAGTACCAAACCACTAGCCGGGAACGGGCTGGGAGGCGAAAACAGCCCTGGAGCAAGCTGAGCACCTCCTGCTGTGCTACAAGCCAATACTGGCAGGGTCACTCACCTCTCGGGCTGACAGCGGGCGTTATTCGCTCACCCGCTGCATCAACCCCCAAAGTGGAAGCCGTGCAGAAGGAGCCGACACAAACTGATTGAGGGACCACGGCTGATTGAGGGGTCCGGGCCAGATGCCTGAGGGCTCAGGGCAGTCGCTGGGGCTTGGCTAGGGTTGCCAGGCCTGGGTTGGAAAATACCTGGAGACTTTGGGGGTGGGTCCAGGAGAGGGCGGGGTTTGGGGAGGGGAGGGGCCACAGCATGGTCCTGTGCCAGAGAGTCCCCCTTTCAAAGCAGCCATTTTCTCCAGGGGAGCTGATCTCTGTCAGCGGGGGACCAGTTGGAAAAGCGGGAGATCCCCAGGCCCCGCCTGGAGGCTGGCAACCCTAGGCTTGGCTCTGCTGGCTCCTAGCAGCCCTATAAGGCAGAGGTCCATCGAAAGATTTCCCTGTTAAGTTAAATGGCCGATCTGCAACAGCCACTGTGAGATCATTCCGAAAAATCAAAGGGCTATGTTCTTCGTCGTCTAAGCCAACCTCAATTCAAGTAAGCTACAAAATTAGTCCCGGTTCCTCTTAATTTTTTTTTTTAAAAAAAACAAAGACCATGAAGAATCTTGCAAAGGATGGGGAAAACAAATCCGGTGACATCTGAAGGCTATTCAACCCGGACCAGTGATGGAACAATGTGCTAATTTCCACAGTTTCTTTTTAAAGGACATTTTCGTGTATAAGGAGGCTGCTTTCCACATGACGGGTCACTGTATTGTCACACCCCAGCGATCGCAGAAAGGTTAGATGCTGTTTTGAGACCAGCTCTCAGATCTGTGCTTTTGTCTTTTGATTAATGCTTCCAAAACTAGAGGTGGGGGAATCAGCTGTGATTTCCCTATTTTAAAAACAGCTTGGAATATCACTGTTACAAGAAGAAAGACCTCCCCTCCCACACACCCCAGTATATAATTAATACATTCAAGCTTTGGGTTGCTTGCTTTCGAACTTCCACCATTATTCAGTAGAGACCACTTCCACAGTTAAGAAGAAGAAGAAGTGGTTGGATTTATACCCCGCCCTTCACTACCCGAAGGTGTTTCAGAGCGGCTTACAAACTCCTTCCCCTTCCCCTCCCCACCACAGACACCCTGTGAGGTAGGTGGGGCTGAGAGAGCTCTTGACAGAAACTGCTTTTTCAAGCCAAAACAGGCACCCTGTGAGGTAGGTGGGGCTGAGAGAGCTCTGACAGAAATTGCTCTTTTTCAAGAATAGGTGTGCCAGAGCTACGGCTTGCCCAAAGTCATCCAGCCAGGTGCAAGTGGAGGAGTGGGGAATCAAACACGGTTCTCCCAGATTAGAGTCCACGCACTTAACCACTCAGTTTCACTGAGGAAGTGTGTTAAAATTACAATCAGCGAGGAAAGTTAGGTTAGCCAGCTTTTTATGCTTAGTCTTAATGACACAGGGCCATTTTACTTATGTTTTCTGCTAAACTATAATTTGGACAAAAAAGAGAGGCCTATATGTAACTCATGATGGAAGCTTGCTGAACACATCAGGAGCCTGGTTTTATCTCCCATATCTGCTCCCGATGGCTTACTGGAGGGGGCTGTTATTATGGGTGAAAAAGGATGTCTGACAGGCCCAGCTACTAGCAAACACTTGGGGCCTGATGATCAGCAAAAGCCTACTCCGGCCCTCATTCAGCCAGGAGGAGGCAGGAGAAGAGGGAGGGTAAGTTGCTTCCTCCCTGCCTCTCCCCACCCCTGCCTGCCTGGGGTCAGGGAGGGCCTTTGCGAGGCTTCCTTGCACTCCCACTGGCCTTGCAGGTCCACCGCCGGGCCCCTCACGGGGCTCAGCAGTGGAGCTGCAAGGTTGGCGGTGGCAGCTGAGACCGTTGGGGGCGGGGTGTGTGGCCTTATGACACACTTCCGGTGATGTCAGGGGGTGTGGCATATGCTAATGAGTTATGCTAATGAATTCCCCTAGCTCTTTTTCTACGAAACGACCCCTGGTGATAGGTGTGTGTGATCTCTCTCTCACACAGAAGCTCTCTTTTGTCTTATACTTAGATAAAAAGACTATTCCTTTCCACGGTGCATTTTTTTAAAAAAATCCACTTTGAGAATTGCGCAAAGATTCCTATACATCTAGAGGTTTCCCTCAGCTTTGCAGAGAGAAAAAATCTGAAACCCGTAAAGTTTAAAGTTTGCGGAGGGGGTTATAAAAGAAATGCCAAGCTCTTGGCCCCCATTTTGGAGTTACTGGCTTGCTGGAATGGAGGCGCTTGGGGCTGATGGTGCAATCCTGCGTGCTTTCTGCTCGGAGCCCTCCGGTCAGCTTGTCAGCGGTGGGAAGGTGGCACCGGAAGCATATCCAGCTGTCCAAGCCCCCAGCACCGATCAGCAGGCCTCTGGTCCGTAGTGCACTGGCCCTCAGGAGAACCGTTCTGCACTAATGATCGTTTAAAAACCAAACCACAGTTTGAGGTTCCAAATGTTCAAATCGTGACTTCAACGCTCCTTGCCCATTTTAATTTTCTACCT